CAGGTTACACCACCACCAGTAGACCACTCCAGCCTTATGGTGACCTTACCTTGGCTTTTATTCTAATCCCAGGTTCTAACCCTTCCCTTGTAACCATGTTGGTACAGTGTTTAAGTGCTCATCCAAACAGTTCTTTAATCTCTTGAGGGTTTCCACACACTTTTGAGCAGCGAGATCTAGTCTTTTTTTAAAAAATTCATTCACAGGATGAGGGTGTTGCTGGCCAGGCAGCATTTATTGCCCATCCCAAGTTGCCCAGAGGGCAGTTAAGAGTCAACCACATTGCTGTGGGGTCACATGGTAAGGACGCCCTAAAGGACATTAGTGAACCTGATGGGTTTTTCCGACAATCGGCAATGGTTTCATGGTCATCATTAGACTCTTAATTCCAGATATTTATTGAATTCAAATTAAACCAACTGCTGTGGTAGAATTTGAACCCAGGTTCCTGGGTCTCTGGGTTATCAGTCCAGCAAATATACCACGAGGCCATCACCTGATATCCACCACCATCTGTTGAAAGAATGGTTTCCCCACATAGCCCCTAAACTTCCTGCTCCCTGCCATAAAACTGCACCCCCTCCTGCTGATTGATCCCTCAACTAAGGCAAAAGGTTTCTCTCTATCTATGCCCCTCAGAACTTTGTACACCTCAATCTGGTCTCCCCTCAGCATTTTGTCCTCTGAAGCGCGTGGCTTCGGCCTATCTTGTCTTTCTGCATAGCTGCATCGCTCCAGCCCAGGCAACAACCTGGGGAATTTCTTCTGCACCGTCTCCCGTGCACTCAGACCCTCCATACAGTGTGGTGACCAAAACTACACAATGCACTCCAACTGAGGCCTAACATTATATATAGCTTCAACAGGATGTTGCCTGGGCTGGGCCAATTTAGCTATGAAGACAGACTAGTTAGGATGGGGTTGTTTTCTGAGAGTAGAGAAGACTGAGATGGGAACAGTGATTAAGGTGTACCAAGTTATGAGAAGTACAGATAGGGAAAAAAAGTGGAAACGTTTCCCTCAGTGGAAGAGTCAATAAGCTGGGGGGCGGGGGGTTAAGAATGAGGAGCAGGGCATTTAGTGGGGATTTGCGGAAATTCCTTTCCACCCAGAGGTTGCCGGAATTTGGAACCCACAGGGTGGGAGAGGCAAGACCCCATCAAAACACTGAAGAATCATTTAGATGAACACCTGAAACACCACCTCATGCAAGGCTAGAAAAGGTCAAATGGTGGAAAAAAGATAGATAGATGCCTGATGAACAACACAATCACAATGGACGGAAGAGCCTTTCTCCATGCTGTAAAACCTCTGATTCTACCACTCATCACGTTAGTCCCTTGGACTTGTTAGCTCTCCAAAAATATACTACCTCCGACTTTTCAGAATTAAATTTGATTTTCCACTGTTCAATCCATCTAACCGGGCCATCCATGTTGTTCTGTAATCCAAGGCTTTCCTTCTCACTATTTACCGCAACACCAAACTTTGCGTCATCTCCAAGCTTAGTGATCATACCTCCTACATTCACATCTTGATCAGTAACACTGACTCCAAACAGCAAGGGTCCCAGCACTGACCCATGTGGAATGCACCAGAAACAGGCTTCCAGTCACAGAAATAATGTTCAACTTGCTTCCAGCTAAGTAAATTTTGGATTAAATTTGCAGATTGTTCAGGATCCCGTGGGCTCTTGGTTTCTAAACCAGTCTACCACGCCAGTCCTTGTCAAAACACTTACTTTATCCACACATCAACTATACTCATCTAATAACCTCCTCAAATCATCCAACCAAATTTATTGGACATGATCACCCCCCGCACCGAAAACATGATGCTGACTATCCTTAATTAGTCCTTGCCTCTCCAACTGGAGATTAATTCTGAGCCTCAGAATTTTTTCCATTAGTTTTCTTACCACTGAGGTTAGACCCACTGGTTCCCTGGTTTATCCGTACCAATGTTCATGAGCAATGGCACATCAGCTGACCTTCACTTCTCTGGCTCCTCTTCGAAGACCAGGAAGAAAATTAAAAATTAATGTCAGAACCCCTGCAATTTACCTCCTGCAACTCTCAAACCCACTAAAACTTCAAATACCTCCTCCTCTCAATCCTAATTTGTTCAAATACATTACATTCTCCCTCCCTGAATTCTAGACCTACATCATTCTTTCTCTGTAGTGAATACAGATGCAAAGTTCCCACTTGAAATCTCAGCTTTGTTTTCAGGGTTGACTTTATTTGGTCCGTAATAAGCCTTACTCTTTCCCTGGTTATCCTCAAGGCTTGAATAGGCTTATAAAACACCTTCAGATTTCCTTAATGTTACTGGCTAGTGTTTTTGCATGCCCTTTCATCACTTTTCTAATTCCAGAAACCGGAGCACCTGGAGGAAATCCATGCAGACATGGGGAGAATGTGCAAACTCTGCGCAGACAGTTGCCCGAGGTTGGAGTCAAATCTGGGTCCCTAGCGCTGAGAGGCAGCAGTGCTAGCCACTGAGTCACTGTTCTATACTTGTCCTATGTACCTCCAATCCTTATCCCATACACATGCCAAATTAGTTTAAAATCTCTCCAAAAGCACGGGCAGAACCCATTCCCAGTTCCTGCAAGGATGTTACATCTCACTCTGGCTCAGATGCAACCTATCAGATTCGGACAGTTCCCAGCTTCCCTAGAAACTAACCCAGAGATGCAGAAATCTAATGTCCTTTCTAACTCTTTCACCACACATTCATCTGTTCTATCACCTATACTTGCTTCACGTGGAACTGGGAATAATCCAGAGATTACAACCTTCGAGGTCGTGCTTTCTGATCTGCTACCTCGCTCTCTGAATTCTTGTTGCCTTTTTCGTGATCGCCTTGGTCCTAATTGGAACCACAATCACTGACTGTTCACCTTCCCCCTTCAGAATGCCCTGCAGCCATTCAGTGACATCCTTGACCCTGGCCCCAAGGAGGCAGCAACTGTCCTGGAGTCACATCTGTGGCCTCAGAAAATCCTGTCTGTAGTCCTCATTCTTGACTCTCCCATCACTAATCTTCTCCCGCTCTTTCTACTGTGTAGCTGGGCCATGTCTGCACACCCCAGAGGAACTGTCACCAATACCAACGTAGAAAATCTGTTCTTGACCGATATACACTTGGGGCTTTCCTGACTACCTACCCACTGCCCTTCTTCTGAATGATGGTCACCCATCCCCTCTTTCATTGCACTTCCTTATGCTGCGGATCACACCTTTCAAAAACATGCTGTCTACATACCTTTCAGCCTTACCGATACACTACTATGACACAAGCTGACGCTCAGTGTCCAAAGTCCAGCGCTGAAGCTGATCAAACCAGTAAGATCTCTCACGTACTACAGGCCGTATAATTACACAGGGATGAACCATCCCTGCTATGACTAGTCTCTGTCCTCAAGTTACTTTCTTTAATGCTAACTTTACCCTCTGTCCCACTAATATCACTTTCTCATATCATATGACTTTCACTTACCTCTGGTGCCTTCCAAGTCAATCCCTGCATTAATGGGTTCAGAGATAGTAGGAACTGCAGATGCTGGAGAACCTGAGGTAAACAAGGTGTAGAGCTGGATGAACACAGCAGGCCAAGCAGCAGAGGATGAAGAAGAAGGTACTTTCTGAAGAAGGGTCTAGGCCTGAAACGTCAGCCTTCCTGCTCCTCTGATGCTGCTTGGCCTGCTGTGTTCATCCAGCTCTACACCTTGTTATCTCCTGCATTAATGGTGCTGTTTCAAAGAGGAAGAAGGGTTTTATCTCGCACACTGGGCGAGTGTGTGTTGCTCAAACAGCATCACAAAAACAAAAGTGGGACCATCAGATTGCTATCACAATGCAGCTAATCGGAGCTGGCTGTGCATCCACTGTCAACCATGGGTCCTGCATGAAAACACTGGTGACATTTCTATTGGTTGTGAAGCACTCTGGCATGCCCAGACATCATAGGGGTGCATGTTAAATGCAGGTTATTGATTCGCCGCTTTCTGCTAACCTGTGAACCGAACAGTCGTAGCGTGTGAATTGGGTGAGCCGGGCGGGAAGACTGCAAGGGCATTAACAAATTGAGGTAGGAACTTCAGCTACTGACCGTCTCACTTGCCCCTCCTTGCCATGCCATGAGTGGGATTTCAGCGGGAAGAGAGTTGGTGATGGGGTGCCAGCGTGACGCACACCTCACCATATGGCTTAGTCATAGCTATACAGCACAGAAACAGACGCTTCGGTCCAATTCATCCATGCTAACCAAACATCCTAAATTGATCTAGTCCCAGCATTTGGCCCATATCCCTCTAAATCCTTCCTATCCAAGTATCCATCCAGGTGCCTTTTAAATATTGTTATTGTACCAGCCTCCACCACTTCCCCTGGCAGCTCATTCCATACATACATCAACGTCTGCATTAAAATGTTGCCCCTTAGGTCCCTTTTAAATCTTTCCTCTCTCACCTTAAACCTATGCCCTCTAGTTTTGGACTTCCCTATTCTGAAAAAGGGCTATTCACCCTACCCATGCCCCTCATGATTTTACAAACCTCAAAGGTCACCCCTCAACCTCCAATGCTCCAGGGAAAATAGCCCATCCTATTCAGGCCCTCCCTACAGCTCAGACACTCCAACCCTGGCAACATCCTTGTAAATGTTTTCTGCACCCTTTCAAGTTTCGAAGATCTTTCCTGTAGCTGGGAGACCAGACCTGACCGCAGTATTCCAACAGTGGCGTACCCAATGTCCTGTATAGCTGCAACATGATGTCCCAATCCCATATGCAATGCACTGACCAATAAGGGAAAGCATACCAAACGCCTTCTTCACCACCCTGTCTATCTGCAATTCTGCTTTCAAGGAACTGTGAACTTTGCATTCCAAGGCCTCTTTGTCCGGCAACACTCCCTTACTGATACCTGGTAATATTACACATTGCTGACCCCTTATTCATCCCCAGTGCCCCAAGCCCAGGTGTGTGCTGCTCACCTCTGCTGTTCTCGCACATTGTGTCCTGGATAATTCCAAAGCTGCAGAAATCTCCAAGTGCAGGAGCAACAAGCCAAGGATTTTGAGGTTACAGAGGTAGCCAGCTCCTCCTCATCCCCCACTCTGAGTCGATGCCAGCTCTGTCCATTGGTATCGCCTTCTCCCCAAAGACTCTCCCCTTCTCCCCACCCAAGCCTTGCTTGGCGATCTCTGCACAAAACCCAACTTTTCCCCTGTGGACCCTAATATCTTGATCCACCTCCAGCCCATTCACTGCTCCTTCCCCATTTTAATGCCAATCTCAACACTGTGCATGAAGAGGGCCCCTGACTGCTATAACCTTCGGGGGTGGGGGGTGCGGAAGATCAGCCACTTTGCCCCTTGGATCAGTCACTCACCCTGAGCACAGTCTGTATCCTGGATGGATGCCTCTCCTGTCCCTTCCTTCTCTCTCTACCCTCACATTCTCTGACCCAGACACCCTTCTGTTCAGACTCTGTCTGTTTCACTCTTCCTTTCTACTGTCCACGTCCTTTTCTCTCTATCTTGGAAGGGAGTCAGTGTCCCTCTCTGCTTCTTTATCTTTATTTCCTTTATCTCCTGGTTCTTTCGTCCTCTCTCCCCTCCTCTTTATTCTTCTAAGTCTACCCACACCTCCTTCTCTTTCTCTCTCTTCCACCAACCCCCCCCACCCCCCCGGCCTTGCTGATGACCCCCCCACCCCGTGCTCCTCCTCGTCCTCCTCCCTTACTGAGCTTTACCCCAAACCCGGCCCGTTCCCCATCCAACAACCTGGGCCTCAGCCCACTGGATCCGAATACTTTATCGTCGATCTTGGGGGCTCAGTGTTTCTCAGTCTCGGACACTAGGCCCCAATCCCCGGGCTCAGGTGACTAACTCACAGCGACGACTCCACACAATCACGGCCAACGGCGATCTGCGCAAGCGCACAGCGAGGGCACCGATAGGCCCAGCACCGTGGGGCGTGGCCCGGCGAGCGGGCGGGGCCACAAGGAGTGGGCGGGGCTCTAAGCGGGAAACGAACCACTTGAATGGGCGGGTCAGTGAGTGGGTAGGCGGGGACAAGGCCGCGGGGGCGGGGCGTTTGTGTGGGTGGGGTCCGGCGTGATCGGGCAGGATGGTTATTAGGGCGGGGCCCTGGCTGTACGGTTCGGTTAGAATGGGCGATGGGTGAGTGGGCGGGGCCGTGAGGAGGGGCGGGGTCTTGGTGTGGGCTCGCGGATCAGTGGGCGGGATCTGGAGGAATGGGCGGGGCCAAGAGTGTCACCAGGGGCAGAACGGTGCCCTGGAAGCAGAGACCCTTCTGCCCATCGCACACATGTGGTGTATGAATTTCAGTGCCAGTCTGATGCCGGGTCCATAGATCATTTGTTCCAGCGACACGAAATGATTTCCAATTCAGGGTGGGGAGAGGCTTGGAGGAGAATCTGCAGCTGCTGGTGTTTCCACGTATCTCCTCGTTGGCTGAGGTCGTGGGTTTGGAAGGTGCTGTCTTGCTTGGTGTAGTCCTGTCATATAGAGTCATACAGCACAGAAACAGACCCTTCAGTCCAACCAGTCCATGCTGACCGCAATGCAGACTATACCAGTCCCACCTGCCTGCACTTGGCCCATATCCCTCCAAACATTTCTTGTTCAGGTACTTATCTAAATTTATTTAAAACGTTGTAACTGTACCCACATCCACTTCCTCTGGACATTCCACTCATGAACAACTCTCAGCATAAAAACATTGCCCTTCATGTCTTTTTAAAATCTTTCTCTCCAAACATTAAAAATATGCCCCCTAGTCTGCAACTCCCCAACAGAGGGAAACAGACACTTGTCATTCATCTTATCTATACCCCTCATGGCTTTATAAACCTCTATAAGATCACCCCTTCTACCTCCTATGCTCCAGTGAAAAAAGTCCCAGACTGTCCAGCCTCTCCTTATAACTCAAAACCTTCTTTCCCAGAAACATCTGATAAATCTCTTCTGAACACTCTCCAGCTTAATCATAACCTTCCTATAACAGGGAGAGAAGAACTGGACACAGTACTCCATAACAGGCCTCACCATCATTCTGTATAACCTCAACTTATCATCTCAACTCTGATACTCAAGTGTGTGAGCAATGAAGGC